TAAAGCAAAGAGGGCAAAATACACTAATGAGAAATATAAAATATTTGGCATATTGTGTGTATACTTTGCTTTGAGTGAAGGCATCAGGTTTGAAATAAACATTATTAAAAAAGGTAACATAGTTAGAAATGTAATTATAATTGATTAATAAACAGGGTTCCTGCGAGTCCTTAAAAAGTCTTAAAAGGCATTGAATTCTTCAAAATAAAACTTAAGGCCTTAATTGGTATTAAAATGTCTTAAATCAGTCTTTCGTAGGTCTTAATTTTTAAAACATCATAACAGGATTATTTTTATTACGATTTATTTTTGTAATCTGAATAAAACGTAAAAATTGACAAATTTGGTTCCGTCCCGATAGCGGAACCAATAAAAGCGTTGTTGCGGCCAGGACACTTGGGAGAAGGGCCATTTACTTTTTGTCTGGAAAATATGAGCAAGTGTAAATGTAACGAAAATTGTTTATCCAGCCAAGAGTTTTCACCACGGTTAAAACCAGGGAACATACATGAGGCTCAGTGGATTTTGTGCAAGAAGCGATTCAAGAATTAAGGCAGTGGAATCGCACATGCGAAGCACGAAACACAAAGCGTCAAAATCAAGTTACCGAGAAACAGCCGGTATTTCTCAGTTTAGTTCCACCCTTGTCTCTGCAACGCCTCCACTTATCACCAAATCAAACATACTAAGAAAACGATACAAAGAAAAATAGCTGCAAAAAAGACTTAGCACTGGTTATGTTGTTGCTTTAAAACTGATTTCTTTTGTTCCCTGCTAAAACATAGTTTGTGAATTCAGTTAAATAATTGTTAAAATATATCTGTCATTTGTGTGTTTTTAGCTTTCTTCCTGTATTGGAAGTTTTTCAAAATTTGAAACATTAGTGCAGTGGTTTATGTTAAAATAAACCTTTGGGTAAAGTTGTCACAAGCAGGTTTTTCTTGTGTTTCTTGTGAATTTGGTCTTAAATTTTTATTTCAAGTGGCATTAAAAAGTCTTAAAAAGTCTTGAATTTAACTTGCCTTATGCTGTAAGAACCCTGATAAACAAAGTTTACAATAACAGCACAGACCCTCTGTTGTTTACCAGGCTTTAGAAGAGGATCCTCAGTGTTGTTTATTTACGATGTTCTCCATTTTATGAAGAGCTCTTCTCTGTAAAACCATGAAGTTAAAAGGACCAGGCTAGTTTTTGGACCAAAAGATGAGTGTTTAAAAATGAGCAAATTACTTCAATTAACAGAGCTAGAAACCATCAATCAGGCATTACATCTAGGTGTGGTAATTGACTTAGACCTGAACCTGCAGAGGCTCATAAAAAAGAGACCTAAAGAATATCTCCAAGATTAAAGAACTAATGTCTACCTCATCATACGGCTGCTTTATATGCATGCAATGTCTTTTTTTCCCCCATATCTCTCATATTGCATTATATCATCCTCTCCAGGATCTTGCCCCTCTACAGTCAGTCATCTGACTTTATAATCAGTCTATCTCTGTCTATCTTGGGCAAATAACATTTTTGTTTTGTAGTTATTTGAGGGTCATAACATCTGTGACCTTGACGACCTTTACTCCTCGAGTACCTTTATCTGCATGGGTTCTGTCCCAAACAACTGCAGCAATTGGTGCTGCAGTTCTTTGGGACAGCTTGGCTGGAATAGGAAGGAACATGTAGGGCAGGGATAATTAATAATAATAATAATTAAGACGTTATTGATCTCACATTGGAGAAATGTACCTCTGCATTTAATCCAACCCCTTGGGGAGTAGTGGGCTGCCATCATGGGTCACCCGGGGAGCAGTGTGTGGTTAACGGTCTTGCTCGGAGAGCCAGACTGGCAGTCTGTAGGAGTGGGGTTTGAACTCAGAAGCTCAGGATTCCAAGCTCTATGCCCTAACCACTAGGCCGCCACTCCGAATACAACTGTTTAAAAGCTGCAGGATACAAATCTGATCCTCTTTCAGCTCCAGTTTTTTTTTTGTCAGTTATTGTAAATGCACATCTGTTCATTACCCATAAAATTTCTCCAACACGTTCAATGTTTCTGAGCTCCAAATCATACTGACGTCCAGCAACAACTGCATCAGTTTTTAATGCTTAACATATTAGCAGGTAACATGTTTTCGAACAGACATCACTAAAATCAAATGGAGCTGTTTTTAGAGCAGTCACCTAACCCTAACCCTTTATTCAGTTTCGAGCTTTACACAAAGGCACTAAATAGAAAATGAAAATGCTTTTAGAGCATGTCTGCACTTACACAACCCACGGCCCTAACATCATCCGGAGAGAGCAATCAAGTGTGACGTCAGACAACTTAAAATGCACTCCGGCAAACATGCCCTCTCCTTTCCTCCTGAATTTTGCAAACACACTTACAGATAGAAAGAAGACTGTGGGAGTTGAGGAAAACATAAAGCTGGATGAAGGTGATCAGTTGCTGAAAGATGTGCAGCTTATTTCTTCTCCTCTTATTTAGGAGTAATGGTGGAATGCCTTTTTAGCCCTCTGTCCAATTTCAAATACTGTTTTACTGTTGGGTGTTAATTAGCTGGCCTCTAATGATGGGAGCTCCTTATAGGGTGCAGATGCCTGATTTCTAAATGTTTATTAGGTGGAATGGCAATTTGCCTTTATTGACTTCCCTTATGCAGAATCTAAAAAAAGTAACAACTTTGATTGGGCTGATTTAAACCTATTTCACTGTGCGAGGTTGAATTTCATAGTCAAATAAAAATAGCTTATCACAGCCTAATAGACGAAGGAATAAACATGATATACAACACAAATGGCAGTCACCTCAGATGTCTTAACTTGGGGATTTAAAAAAACATATTTGAGAATGGTGATACAACAAGCTTTTAGTTTTAAAAGCAAGTGTTGTTTATAAGTTTTACCTAAGTGAAGATTTTCTCCAATTAGAATCCAACGTAGGCCTAAAATCAACCATATGTGCATTTGAGGTTTGCGTGAACTTTCTTGTTTACAGCCTCAAAATTGTGGATACAGGCATCTCAAAGATTGGCCAGCTGGGAGGGTCTTAGTGTATAGCTACTCCTTTTACACTTTGAAAGGAGCCAGTTTAGGTGGCTAGGCCATATGGTTTGGATCAGAGTTGTTTTTGGCAGCCGTCTTATTTTAGTGTTAGTTTTAATCTTCAGGACGAAAGCTTTTATTTGTTTTAGTGACATTTTAGTTATAACTATAAGTGATAGTTTTAGTCAGTTTTATGTTGCAATTCATAAAAAGCTAACCCTTACAATTTTGAGTACCAACCAGATTCTTTACCAGACTGACAGCTCTTGCCAAGATACTACAACAGCTGGGTATAGAATGCTGCCGTGCAGTTCATCATTGCTGCTGGGCAGAAAACTTTGATTAACAGAATTCAAATAAACTTTTTAATGAATTAATGCCCTACTTTATAAAAAAGTGTCTCACAAAAGTTGTGAAAATGGCAGATCTAGTTCAAAACATCATATTGGTTAAAATATCAGGAAAAACAAGCTAGCAAATATTTACAATAAAGTAATGGTTTAGACATACAAGGTTTCAAACCAAAGGCAAACACTTCCTGATCTACTACGAATTATGCATTACACACAGATCAACAAAATCTTCATTTCTCCAGAAAAGCAATTTTGTCAATTTTGTCTTTATTTCTAAGAATTTGGCCCCTTGGTTACTGCTGCTCAGGGCTCAAAGTACATTTGAATTAATTGGGATCTGATGTGAAAAAATACACATAATTGCCTTGTAATACCATGGCAATATGGACCTAGATTTGAAGAAAATGTGAATTGGAATGTTAAAATATTTAAAGGAAAGAGTAACTGTTTTAATAAAAATACAAGGAAACAATTACATCATATCTGAATAGGTAGAAACAAGAACTGAGAGAGCAGTATTCTTTTCACATTTTCATCTGGATCATTATCCAAAAATAAACAGTATGCAATGAAATATTTGCTTATAATTAGGGATTCATTTTGTTAGAAGTTAAAGAAGGTTTTGAATCACCTCTTGTGAGCTTGAAGATGTAAAATGTTGATAGTTAGACAAAAATATTTTTTTATGGTTGGTGGATGATGAACAGCCACATATAGTTTCTGAAGTAGCAAGGGCAGGAAGAGCCATATTGCTGAGAGCGAATCATCGGTGTGGAGCGCAGCCACAGATTCTGAGCTAAGCGAGGTTAAAGATGCATTTCTGCACAAGCACATCTAGAAGAGGAGAGTATGCCAGAGATGAGCACTCAGTACTGGACCATTCCAGATTACTTTTATCCCTGACTCCAATGCCATGGTCCATCTGTGGTCATGCAGAATGTGCACAGCTGCACGCCAGGTGGGCGGCGTGACCGAACAGGACGCAGCAGCACGGCTGATACTGCTTGGCTTTGCTAACAGTTTACAGCACAATGATGCATGGAATGACGCTAACATTTTCGTTCAGTCTTGTCCAATCAATGAAAACTCTCACCCATAAGCTGTCACATTTTCGTCATCAAAGATCCGTGTTTAGCTCGTCAGTTCGAGTTACCTTCACGAAAAAAAAAGTGTCAATGAAATAATTTCGTTATTGTCATCGTTGATGAAAACAACACTGGTTGAATGCCACCTGAACACCTGCCTGGTTGGGCGTTCCAGGCCCTTCTGACCAGGAACAGACCCAGAAGAAGAACCAGAACCCAATAAAGAGACTTAGTGTACCACTTGGCGTGGGAACACCTTGGCCTCTGAGGATCTGGCCAAGGTGGCTGGGCAGAGGGAAGTCTGGGGCTCCCTGCTTAGGCTGCTAACCCTGTGATATTCAATAAACTTTCAATTTTGATTATTTTTCTTCCTGAAAGTGATACAGAAAAAGTAATTGTTTTCATACTTTTCTACTTTTATTTTAATGTTTTTATTCATTGGCTGCAACTTAGAAATAAATGTTTTACCCTGTTCGGGTTGGGTAGAACTGCTAAATAAAGTTATTCCTTATCTGTTTTGCAGTATTACAGTAGTGATGAAGAACCAAGCCCGATGGGAGCTGCTGGAGAGGACAGATGTTTTCTACTTTGGGGTCTCCCTCATAGTTCTGGGAACTGTACTGGTGGTCAGCAGTTTTCTTGCTCTTGGCTTCACTGGAACTTTTTTAGGTAAGTTTGTAATAATTTTCCAGAGCCATCCTTACAGTATGTTTTAAAGTGTACCATGTAAAACATCAATGCGAAACATCAACATAGCCCTCTCCCTATGAACCCCTCGAAACCACGCCTTCAAAACATATAAACGGGCAGGGAGCTGGCAGAGAGACAGACAACACTGATGATGCAGGGCCCTATGATCACTCCTCTAAAACAATTTATTAACGCCTAAATTAACTTAAAATGCCGAAATCTGCCGGTAAAACATGCTTGCTTTTATTATTCTGGTGCCTGCAGTTTGGATTAGGTACATAAAAAAGGCCTTCCTGCCGCCACTGCGAACCGCGAGGAGGCGACCGGGCCAGAGGCTGCTGTTGAATGGGTTTCCTATTGACAACACACCACCGGTGTACGGGGGTCTGAGCGGTAATCTGGATTAACTGATTG